CAAAAGCTAACCCTAACCCTAAACCTAAACCTAATCCTAAACATAACGCTAACCCTAAACCTAACCCTAAACCTAACCCTAAACCTAACCCTAAACCTAACCCTAACCCTAACCCTAACCCTAACCCTAACCCTTACCTTAACTTAAATCGACTTTCTGTAGCCATGCTGTTGTAAAGCGCCCTTCTGTCACCGTGCTGTTGTCGCCGCGGTGATGACGTCACGGTGATGACGTCGCGGTGATGACGTCGCGGTGATGACGTCGTGACGCAGTTTTGTCGGCGCGCTTTTGTCATGTGCGCTTTTGTTGGGTCACGCTCTTCAACCACCTCAAATCCAGGGTCTTCAGTACTGCATGATGTGAAACCAAGTACTGTACGACCACTGAGTGGTTGGTAGAGGTTGTACATCCCTGCTTTACATCCTGAGTGCACAAATTTGGCTGAAGGTCGCATTTAGATATTCTGGATTGTGCAGAAAACAAGATGTATACAGGTAGTCCTCTATTTGGGATCACAATTGAGCCCCAAATTTTCATCGTAAATGAGCTTTGCCCCACTTTACATCCCCTTTTTTGGCCAAAGTTTTGAAGTGAATCACTATTAGTTGTTACATGAATTTGGCTTCCTCCATTGACTTTTGTAAGTCGCCCAGAACTGCTTTGAAATGAGATGAGTAGCAAATAAATATCATCATCGTCGATTTTGCTTATCGGAAGTGAACTGGAAAAATTACAAATAGTGATCAGTGCAAGTGATCATAAATACATGTAGCCAGTTGTCCAGATTTTGATCACGTGGCTTTCAGGATGCTGCAATGGTCATAAGCGTGAAAAGCAGTCATAATTCACTTCTTTTCAGTGCTGTTTTAACTTCAAACATCACTAAATGATTGGTTGTAAACTGAGCACTATGTAATGTGGTAAGAGTAAAAAGCAGTGTCATCCAGAGGAAATCCCCACTTCCAAATTTTTTCTTCAACCCATCTATTTTTTCCCCAGTTGATTCCTTCTCCACCAGTGCATTTTCTCCCATCTTACATAGCCTTAAAATGGCTACGTTTATCGTAATTTTCATATTCTTATACTAAAATGGTGGAGAGAAGCGAGGGCCATGTAAAGGAAGCTAGGGAGTCAAGAGACTCAGGTTAAGTACCAAGACTTTGTATTTTTCAATTTGAAGCCAATGCAGAAATATCTTGTCTCCTGATAAAAGGATGATATTGTCTATATAGCAATAGCAGTTAGACTTATATACCGCTTCATAGGGCTTTCAGCCCTCTCTAAGCGGTTTACAGAGTCAGCATATTCTCTGAAAAGTTTTCTTCATTACTTGTGGTTATTCAATGTGTTTCCAAAGCTTTCTTTTCAGTGGATTGTAATTATTAGATACTTTTACCTCAACTGCTTTAGTGTCTTTGGAAAAGTCAAAGAAAAAAAACATGCAACAATTAAAAAGAACTCGGATCAATTGCACTTTAAGTTAGTGTGAATCTTATTTGAAAAAAGAAAAGTATTCACAATATAGCTTCTTCTCTGTTTTTCTTTACAGGGATACATTCCCCTTTATGTGACTGCAACTGCTGGTACAACTGTTTATGGAGCCTTTGATCCTATTCCAGAGATAGCAGACATCTGTGATAAGTATAATCTTTGGCTCCATGTGGATGTAAGTAACCAGGGCTGCATAATCCCAATCCATTTTACTTGGAAATAAAGCCCATTAAACACAATGGCTATGCTTGCATGACGTTCTTAGCAAAATCAGTTGTATTGTGCAAAGTTGTGTCCCAATCATTTCAAGATAGGATTATGTCCAAACTATCATTTGTTAATTACTCAACAACTTAAACTCCCCTGTCAGCTTCTAGACCATTGGTTCCCAAACTTTTTTTGGCCATGCCCCACCTAAGCATCTTTAAAATCCTGATGCCTCCTCTTGACATATAATTCTTACTTTACTCCAAAAGTGAACTCTACTCACATGGAGGAAGCCTAAAAGGCCATTAACTTGATTTCAACAAGGTTCAAATTGCCCCCATTAAAATCAAATTGCCGCCCTGTGAGACATGGGAGGAACCACTGTTCTAGACAGTGATGAGAGAGTAGAACAGCTCTTCAAATAAATCAACAACAGTCAAATTATCTTAGTGATTTTTTCTTTTAACACATTGTGGGTGGGTGTCTTGCTTAAACTGGGCAGTTGAGAGAAGGCTAAGCTTTCTACTGATCATACCACATTAAAACATCAATTACTGCCCTCTCTCTCTTTTTTTTT